TTTGTTCTTTCAGTTATACTTACGTGTTTTTTTTGTTTTATTTCCGCTGAACGAAGGAGACGAATCGTTACGTACAGTTGTGCGTGAGCGCATATCGCGCGATTGATATTTAATATTTGGTACTGAGAGTAAACGCTGATCGCGTTTCTCTTTGGATTTTTGTCGAGGCGGTTTAACCGGTATACCCGTTTCGCCAAGAACGCCTACTGCACTTGTCGTAATTGAGGTGCTTGCGTTGCCGCCACTAGATACTAGTGGCAAGTTATTTGGTCTTGAGGCTTGCTTATCGTCGCTCTCTTCTGATTCGGGCATAAAGTCGACTTTTTTAAAAATCTCCTGATTCGTTTCTGCCCTGCTGTATTGCTCTCTGGAATCCTCTGAGAAAGTATTCTCACTCTGGGCATCGATTGCATCTCCCATAATACTTTCGGACATACTCTCCCGGCACTCGACACCCACAACGATTGGTTCTTTAGATGGTGATTGATCTTCCTCCTCTGGAGAGCATTCCTTCTGAGTATAAAATATCGCACTGCCTCCACCGCCTTTACCGGTAATTGCTTCGTTTTCGTTGTTTAATCCAATGCCGATTTTCATATTGACTCGAGATAATTGACGCTTTAAATTGAACGTTTTCCATGACATTGATTTGCGACGCTCTTGCAAATCTTTGCCCGCCGGCACAGTTGGTATACCTTCGCGTAACGGACTCTTCGGTATTGCGCCGCCAGTGGTCCTAGCAACCGCAACACCAAGTCCGGTCGCTAAGCTGGCATTAGTTATTGTAACTGCATTCCTATCATTGGTTTCAGGTGTGATCGGACGTGACGAACTATTTTGATTTTGATTTGACAACAACGCTTCCTCATTAACTTCTGGTATAAATTCGATAGATGGGCTATCAGGACTTGTAGTGTCATTTAGCTAAATGGTTGGTGTTGCGTTGGTTTCGATTTCGTTTCGATTATGGTTTCATTCGTTTACGGTTTCATTTTTTTTTTTTTTTTTTTTTTTTTTTTTAAATAAACACAAAATTAAAATACATACAACAATCAACGCTCAATACTTATTTACATACAATATCGAAAATACGTAGCTATCGTTGCAACTTGTTTTAACGATTTCATATATCGAAGCATAAGAATAATTTTAATGAACTTTTTTTTTAATTGATTTATATATTGGTTTCAGAGAAGAATACCCTCAAAGAGTTTATTTTAATAAAAGACTTACGGGATATTAAACGAGGGGAGATGATGCATCCCTCAAAAATGACCAAAATAATATTCATGGAATGATTCGATAGAAAAGACATAAAAATTACAAAACTGTTACTATAACTTACTTAAGTTACTCATAGCATTGACAAACTTTTTTTGCTCCGCTAACAGGCAGATCGCTTAAGTATGACATTTGCGGTCTTCTTCCTTAGCGGCTAAGCCACGTCAGGTGTAACCGCAAACTTTCGATATGCTAAGTAATCTCTAAGTGTACAAGGAGTTCTCCATTACTACTACCACTACTACTGCTAGTCCGCTAAAACAGACAACTTATGTTTCAGATAGCATTTCCACGGTCATCGGCTATGTTCTTCCTTGACGGCTAAGCAACGTCAGGCATAAGCACAATCTTTAGATATGTTAGGGATAATTTCTAAATGTATGAAAAGGTGTCCATTACTACTACTACTACTACTACTACTACTACTACTACTACCACTACTACTATTACTATTGCTAGTGCGCTAAAATACGCAAATAACTTTTCTACGCTAAACGTCTACGAACTAGAGAACCTTCTACTTGCGTCTTTTATTGCAAATACGAGAAATAAATAATAAACTCATCCGAATGTTATCTGTACACGCCTTGGAGGCAATATTGCAACGTCCTCGCACCTGAAAATATTAGTTAAAAGTGGGAAAATTTCCGTCGTCTTCGATTCTTCGATACTTATTGCCGATTATTCGACAGATGGAATTACAAATCTTTGTCTTTCGTCCTTTTGAATCTATTCACAAACATAATCACTAGAAGCTCTTTTCCACTGGATTGAGATGGAGAAAAATTACTTAAATATTTACATAGAAACAGTATTGGACGGACTGAGTTATTTTGAGTTGCTTCCAAAGGACAAGGTCAAATGCTTACTATCAATTAATCGAGGAACGACATAGTGGAACAGTTACGCATAGTAAATGATTATTTTCGAACCTAGCAGTGCAAGAACTTAAAATATTGTGACAGCTTTTTAGAGCTTAAAGATTGGCTTGAGATATGATGCCGTGACGCTAACTGATTGTCATTTCCTTCGAAACGTTTAAATTATTTAAATATTGTATTAAATATTGTAAATATTGTACGCCTAGTACGGACGGTAGTGGTCGTACCTCGTATAGCGCATTTTCGATTTAACAAATCTTCGTAACAGCAAGACAATCATTCTTGACTAGCGAAGAAAAATTGAATTTTGATCTTCTGCCCAACGTATCCGTCCATCCGTCTATCCACTCTGAACTTGTTCTCAGAATTTACTTGTCCTTTTTTTTCTTGTGTGGAAAAAAAGAAATAAGTAAATGTATGCGAAATTCGAAATGAAGTCAATCGGAGGAAATATATCACGCGCCACAAGTATCCCAATTACTAAAATGCAACTAATGCCTACCTAGACAAGAATATACCGTAATAATGCTGTCAAATCGTAATGAAATCGTATTTTCAATTATTTACGATATACGATACATTATAAATGAGAGGACGATACGATTACAATATCAGGCGAACGGGTCTTACTGCTGTTGTTCTAATATACGAAACAACTACGCCGTACTTGCTTAAAAATGAATCGAGTATTTTGACCTACTGAGAATATTCGATTTTGGTTCGATTATTCAACTCAGGTCGCACTGCGACTAAAAATATTCAAAATCTACGGAAGAAATTCGAAGCTTATGTTATTTGCAAAAAAAAAAAAATGTAATTTCAGTTCGCTTGATTTCTATAGGGTTTACTTCAGTGTGTCCGGCTGATCCGGTCATTTTCTTGAATTTATTTCCGAGTAACTGATTACTAAGCAACTATTCAAGTTATTTAGAAAAGCTATTCAACGGTCCACAAAAAAGAAAAAGAAGAGAGAAAATGTCCAAAATTTGGTTGAAATACTTCTCAGCGCTAATCTAAACGATCAATACCGAAATGTTACCATTGATAACAGTTTCATATATTTGATATATATCTCTATCTCTCTATCTCTCTTTCTTTCTATCTCTCTCACTCTATATGTATGCCTGTATGTCTGTCTATGCGTTAATTGTCAAATATATCGGGAAAGTGCGTCACATAAATTACGTCTCTTCTCTAGTTTCATGCTACGATATAATGATGTCCGTCCATTAAATTAATTTTGCCGATTTCTAATATTAATATTTGCGTTCGATTTTACCTTACAAAAAAAAAAATCGAGGCGTTTTTGTTGTTTGTATTTCGTTAAGTCGCTCTCGCTACGAGTACAGAAAGCAGCCAGAATGTCAAAGATATCGAATAAAATGAAGAGTGAAGATGTTAATCGCGATTATTTAAACGAGATCGTATTCCGATCATATTTCAAATTTCAAATGATTGAGAAAAGAAGAAAATGCGTTTTTTTCTTTTTTTTTTTTTGGAAAAATCTTTTAATTTCTTTTAATTTTTTTTTTTCATATTATTTTGGTCATTTCGGTTAATTTCAAAATTTAAAATAATTGCTTTATGGCAGTTAATAATTGGCATTTATTTATTTATTCATTGTAATAAATAAAATTGTTAGTGGAAAAAATGAAGCGATAGTAAAATAAGAAAATCGATCTCTGAATTAATCAATTAATTAATCACATTTAAGCAAGACACACACAAGTATTGAGAATTTACGACTTTTTTTGTAATTGTTTAGAAGAAAAAAAATTGTTTTTGTTTTTCGTTTTTTTTTTTTTTTTTTTTTTTTTTAAAAAAAAAAAAACAAAATAATGTATATATATTTAATTGTATACGTGTGATCAATCCAATCTCCGTGCACATTAAACAATTAGTCAATCAATCAATCAATCAATCAATCAATTAATTAAGTAATGAATCAATCACAAATAAAGAGATTTACCATGCTTCGCCTTGTGTTGGTTGTTAATTTGCAAATGGTTTTCGGCCAACTTTTCTATTCTAACACAATTCCATCAATCAATCAATTAATCTTGTTTTCGATGTAAAATTTCAAATCATTATCGTGATCATTATCGTTAACGTAAACGTATTAGCTTTGTATTTTTCTTTTCTTTCTATGCTTTTAACTGACTTTCTTCTGAATATTGATTTCGTTCGGATAAAGATGAATAAAAAAAGATATTCTTTCTTGCCATAGAATTCAAGCATTCTTTTTAAATTATTTTTGTTTCTTTTTTTTTAAATATTTATTCCCCTTTTTTTCTTTTTTTTTTTTTTTTGTTTAAGAACATTTGTTGTATTTTTGATGACTTGTTTTTTGTTTTTTTTTTTTTTTTTTTTTGTTTCTTTTCATTGAGGGAATTTTAATCCTTAAAACATCCTTATTAAAATTTTATATCTACCGCATACGCGTCATACGCATTATTTACGGAATTGAATCATTTTTATAATGCTCTATATAACTAGGGAGTAGAAATTCCTGTCGCCGTATTGTCAGAAATTATGCTATAAACGAAATAAATATGAAAATAAACACTTTTACGTTATAAATAATTTCACAAAATAAATATAATAACATTTCTTCGACAGAGGTGTACGAGGACCGAAACGCTGCTTATATAAGAGAAATGAGTAAAATTTTAATATCCTTAGGCAACAACAATGGCTAACGTCAGACATACAAAGAGTACGCGTTTAAAATCCTAAGATACGACAATCAATCATTTCATTCAATAATCGTTTCGATGGTAAACATGGTATGCAATATACACTACACGAGTGCCATGACGAACGAATGCAAACATATTGGGAATAAATCGTTTGATTAAAAAACAAAATGCATTTAAGTATAATCTCTCTCTCTTTTTCTCTCTCTCTCTCTCTCTCTCTCTCTCTCTCTCGCTTTCTCACTCTCTACTATTAAGACATATTTCTACTGGAACCTAATGACAAACACCACACAAACAATTATAAAAGAACCATTCGCGGCTCATGTGCTGCATATATTTCAAAATATTTAAGCAGTGATAACGGTTCTACAATCGTTTTTGCATTTTAGATATTACTATAACCGATAATTGAAACTTTAGCAATGCTATACAGACACATATCAGGTGCGTGCGTTAATTTTAGTCAGCGTTATTCTATAGGCAAAAATGTAATGGAAAATACCAACGTATATAACGGTTAAATTCGATGACTTTTTTACCTTCCTCTACATAAAACAACAGTTTTCCATTCAATATTATTGAGTTAATCGGTGTATGTCGACGCTAATCGCATCGGGCGCTCAATATTTCATTTTCGATCTTCAATTTCTTTTGTCATTTATTTGAAGAAATCTACTCTGCCGAAGTCCGAACAAATATGTTCGCAAACTAATGGTGATGCTGCTCCATCGTATCCCAATTCCCACTTTTTGATTTCAACAATTTAAAAGTTTCAACTCAAATTGACTGAAATGGCCATTTTTTGGCTACTGGTGTGGTAAGAGTTGTTAGGGATACGCTGTTGCAGTTCGAATAGGAAATACCGTCACATTCAGCGCACTCGTCGCCTTATGATTACCACTTGTTCAGATCGATGTCGCACATCGCATGGCTAGCACGCATATCCGTTAAGTTGGGGAAGTGCGAAAATGGATCGATGATTGGATGGATCACTGCCTAGCCAATGCTAGAAGATTGTACAAAATGATCTAAACTATTTTGATTAACATACCTATTTTAATAA